AAAAAGGTTTCTCACAATTGAACGAAAATTAGCAACACATAAATCATAAGCCTTAGACTATCATGCATTCATAAAGGAGTACTTGGACATGGGCCACATGAGTCCAGTGAGTCAAGAGGCACTTGAAGACCAGCCAGTGTATTATTTGCCTCACCATGCTGTCCTCAAGGCTGACAACTTGACTACTAAGACTAGAGTAGTATTCGACGCGTCAGCAGTCACGATAAGTGGACTATCGTTGAATGACATTATGTGTCATGGTCCCACTATTCAAAAACCATTAATAAACATCATACTTCGTTTTCGATTACATCACATTGTTCTTACAGCAGATATCATGAAAATGTACCGTCAGATTGGAGTAGCTGACGAAGACTGTAATATGCAGAGAATTCTGTATCGAACCTCGCCCAGTGATCCACTACAAGAGTTTCGCCTTTTGACTGTGACATATGGAACAAAGGCAGCTCCGTTTTTGGCTACTAGGTGCCTAGCCGAGCTAACACATACGTGTCAAAATCTATCCGTCGCGAAAGTTATTGATTAAGATTTTTATGTGGACAATCTTATTACTGGAGGTCAAACAGAAGACGAATGTTTCAATCTGTACAAACACATCACTGATAAACTTGACAAAGCCCAATTACCCCTCAGAAAATGGTGTTCGAATTCAGATACATTACTCTCCCGTTTACCAACATTAAATGAAGAAATATATGTACTGCATATATTAGAAGAAGATTCGGTCAGTACCCTTGGTTTAACTTGGCAACCAAGCAAGAACATGTTTAAATTTGTTTTAAAACCATGGCAACCTCCTGCTCGAATGACAAAACGCTCCCTACTATTTAACACAGGCGCGGATCTAGAACTCAAATTGGGGGGGGGGGTCATCTTTTCAAAAGTAAAAAAAAAGATAATACACGATTACAAAATAATAAAAGTAATTTATTAATTCAAATTAAAATGTTATGAATATATGAAATTGTTAATTTTTAAAATTAAATAACAACATGTAATCTTCTTTGTTTTATTTTTCCAAATATAAAAAATAATATTATTAACATTTATGTGTATATTTTTGTGAATATTGAACAAAGCGTTCCTTTTCCATGTTTAAACGAAGCCATGAAACCTTAAGCCTTAAAACGCCTAAAAGTAGAGAATGATCGCATGTTTTATGTTTTATCGCATGTTAGTATTTTTTAACATGTTATTAGAACCTAAATTAGCGATTAGCGGTGTCATAGCAAGTATATGGTATAATATTATATAAACATACTGGTAACGGATTGAGAGTAACCGAATTAGTTCCCGTTTGAAAAAGGTATTTTATTAGATATAGCTGAATTGGTTCCCGTTTGTGTACAGGTTAGGCGAGCCTCTGCATTGAGAACAAAAACAAAATTTTAAAAGCTATATGTATGACATATAGACACAATTATTATATCGATAAGATAGAGTATAGAAATATAATAGATATTATATAGATTACTAGATATTAGCAAACAGGAAAAAAATAATAAACAATTGGAAAATTGTATGAATGAGTACATTAATGAGAAGATTACGAGAATTGAATATTTAAAGAAGGTTAGCTTTAAATTTGCAAATCAATGGTATATATATATATATTATGGATATTATATATAATGGAATATATTTATTATATTTTATTATTTGTATTTCGTCATGAGCGCCCGCAAGGGGGGGCCAAAGGGGCCATTGCCCCTACTGGGAATTTTTGTTTCAAAACTATTGTTAATTTAATACCACGCATATTAATTATAACATAATTTTATTGAGATCCATTGATGAAGTTTAGTAAAATTTATTATATTTTTAGATATTCAAAAATGTATAATCTTGAACGTATTTATTTGTTTACAATATTTACACGTAACTGCATATCGCTTAAGAATATAAATTCTTCCGAGTACCGATTTCTATGGTATTTGATTTTGTTCTCATATATTTTTAGATACACTTTGTGACCCTTAGAATTTTAATCTTGCGCCGGGTGGGATTTTATCCTGCGGGCGCGCTTGTATTTCGTACACCTAAGTGATGACTAGTCGACTTCCAAATCAATGATTTAAAATTGAATATTTTTATCATTTTTTTTTTTTTTAACAAACATTAACGCATATTAACCAAGCCTACTTTAAAGTTGACAGTCCTAAATCTGTAAAATTGAAAAGGAAAATGTGCGTAGTTAAACGGAAACCAATTCGGCTCTATCTAATAAAATACCCTTTTCAGACGAGAACCAATTCGACACATAGGTTTGGAGCTTGGGAACTAATTCGGTACCAGCCAACGGATTGACAGTAATCTAATCTAAGATAAGTTATATTAGATAAGTTATCTTTCCGTCGAAGGTCGAACACTCAAAAATTTCCACAGATTTACTATTATATTTATATTTATTCGCCAACAAAATTATAGTCTATCATTAAGTTTATAATCACTATTAATATTCTTAGTTGGATGGAAATTATGATTTTATGAACAAGTGGTTATGTAGTTTAAATGTACATAAATGTAATATGTTGTATAACATTTTTATTGCAAAAAAAAATCTAAGTGAAAAAAAATTAAAAACGCATTTTATGCATATTTTAATTTTTAAATAAACAAGAAGAATTTAATCTTGATCAGTTTTTCTGGGGGGGAGGTCATGACCCCCATGACCCTCCCCCTAGATCCGCGCCTGATCTAAGTAGAAAACATAAAGTTGGTAAGTAGTCAAATAACACATTCCTATAGGCGTGCGCAACCTTTGTGGCACGGTGGGCCAAGTCATTGTTAAATTAGGATCAAAAGCAAATTTATAATTGATAGTAATTAGGTCAGGTTATTGTATTCAAGTTCACAAAATAACATAATTACAATATTAAAATAACATAATTTACAGTAATTAATATAATAATTACAATTCATAATTCTATTCTTCTTTCACTAGGAGTTAATGTGTGTGTGTGAAACTAAATTTTCCCATTTTATGTTATACTTATGAATAGTATCACTCAATACCTTAAAAATATTTTCAGCATTGACTGAGGTAATTTGTTTCATACAAATAAACTGTTCATATGGACATCTTTTTTGTGTGTCAAAATATCGTACCCCAATAGACAGCTGCTCGTGGTGACCACAGTTGCTTGTTTCATCGGCTATTATTGATACTTTTTT